TAAAGTTTATATTACTGAGGAAAGATGGCAGAGAAAGGGGGTCTGACTGCCTGACTGGGAGAAAAAGATAGGCCATTAACTACATACGTCTCCCTGTCATGCTCGACCGAAAACTATCTAGTGCATAAGTATATAAATAATGATAAATAGCTATAAATTCAGTGGCGTAGCGTGGGTGTCAGCCGCCCGGGGCGGAGGAAAATTTCGCCCCCCCCCGTATTTAGGTATCTTAATTTAAAAGACTAAAATTCAGTTTCGTCACAGAATAAGTAATGAAAAATTCCGTGCTAGTGTTGCCACCTTTTTAAAATCGCCGACCCTGACGGCAGGTTAGTTTTGTTCGAACAGAAGTTTCTGACGCATGTGTATATCATTTTGCAACGAAGAATAATTTGCAGTGCGTGCTGGTTCTAAATCAGTTACAGTTAGCGACTAGGGAGATTTGGGTAGGAGTAACGCAAGTAAACTGGATGACTTAGCCCTATTGGACATTGGAGGTCTATAAGTCTACGAATGAATCGTACAAGCAAAAAAAAAAAAAAGAAAAAAAAGGTCAACAGGTTGCGCACGATATCCCCGGACGGCGAGTCGAATGGTAACACTATTCCCACTATTCCGTGCTCATTTCATACGGTCCGAATCGTAGGTGGACGAAAATATGAAATAGTGGTTCAAATTCTTACAAGATATTGTTATTTATTGTCAAATTTTGCCGCGCCCTAAAAGGTGCCGCCCTACGCTAAAAACTACGCTACGCTACTGTATAAATTAATTTAAAAACTGAAAAGTTAGAAAAGTAGATCCTTATAAACTCACGGTTTCTTCTCAAATTACCGATTTTAAAAAGTTGATAACGGTATTTTGGGTAGCTTTACAGAAATTTTAATCATTACCGTATAAATATACTACGCAATGCGTAAGGCTGTTGGGTACAGCATTTAACAAGTAAATCTTAGTAGTACAGTACATCTCTTAATTTAATATATTAACGTTGATAAAATACATACATATCTGTTATCTGCTATCCTATGTTAGAGTTCTTGCGAAAGAACTCTGACGTGAAAGATGGTAGAAAATATTGAATTATTTGCAAGAAATAGCTTATAGAAGTCTTCTCAGAACACATTTTGTTATTACAGTAAACATTTTCCCAGAAGTTAATGAACTTATTCCAAAATTACAGTAAACGTTTCTAGCAGTTTTGAAGATTGTAATTAAAAGTACATCGTGTTTTGCGATGTTTTGTATACTTTATCTTCTACTAATGTCCTTGTTAAATTTCTCTCCTGTCATTAACTATGTGTGTAACAATGATTTGTGTTATATAAACTTTCGTATTTGTATTGTGTAGCAACGCTTCGTGTCGTATAACCATTGTATTATTTTTTATAATAAATAAACGGCCATGACGTGGCGTCTTTTATCAAGCCCGCCACTTTTTGGTTCGGTATGACTTGAAACGAATCGAAGTAGTCGTGTATGATTTTTAAAACTTACTTGTAAGGTATCGTAGTCACTATCTGTGATCACATAACTTGCAACAGTGATATATTTAACAGTCCTAACGTACTACAATAAAGTCTTACCTAAAATATATTTTAGCTAAGTCTTAAAAAGTACAATCAAATAATTACATCAACATACACATTCGATTGCATTTATATAGGGCTTCATATATTTGCAAAAATAGTGAGCGTGACAAAGGCATCCATACCTCCTGTTTTCTCACAACATATTGTATAAAAGAATAAATTTTGTTTTTTATGCAAAATAAATTAAATAATTATACAGAAATAAAATTAAACTGAATCGTACAGTTTTATTTTAATTTGAATTAAACACAAAGATACTTAATTAATTTTTACCTTCTGATAAGCTGAAAATTCTATTACGCTGATACAAATATACGTTTCTCGAGAACAGAATTAATTTGAATAAAGATTATCTTGTGTTCTGCTTGTAATTTTGATTATCAATTTCTGAACACGGTTACAATACTTTGCGGTATTATGTGATCCATATTTGAGGAATACCTTGTATATTAGCGAGGTTGAGGCCGAAGTTTTAAACGCGAAAACGTGTACGTCGGACGTTCAGCGCCGCTTTGCTATAAGCCTAGAAGTTTGACAATGGTGTTTGGAAAGTCAGTGGAATCATTTTTACCATTAAATTCGATAAAAAGCAAAAGTAACGATATAAAAATTTCAAGAAATTATCTTTAAGGAAAATCGTTCAGATGAAACGAAAATAGTTTGGAAGATTCCTACCAGACAAGATCTAAAAAGAAATAATCCTATGAGAAAAATTTTTTCCTCTGAGAATTTCTCCTGGAGGAAAGAATAGTAGGAAATTTCTACTGTTGGGGAAATAATATTAATCGGTAAAAAAATGGGAAGGTGGAGACAGACATTTATTGATATTCGTTGATATTCTATGATATATAATGTAGATGAGACTATTTAAGTACTATTTCAACTGTTTATAGTGGGAGGTTATTTGTTTGTATCTGATGTTAGCCGAGGATGGTAAGGTGGCAAGTTTTTGATAACGTCCGATCGCAATTATTTTTCTTTCCAATCATCAAAAAATTATCTAAAAATAAATACAGTACTGCATATTTACGAACGGTTTAAACTTCGGCTTGATGACATAATTAGGGGAAGGAGGTATCTTAAAGGGTTCAAAAAGGTCAAATTTCTGCTGATGTACTAATTGAATAGCTCTTTGGAAAACCAATGTTAATAGTAAATGTTAGTCAAATGAGGATTTCTGTATGTTAATTGCGAAAATATTTATGTTATCCATTTTATCAAATGTATATACATTTTTAATTGATTGTGCCATTGCCAGAGGGAAGATTTTAATGCTTTATACCAGTGTTTTTCAACCTGTGGGTCGCGACCCCCAGTGGGTCGCAAAGCCATACACGGGGGGTCGCGGGTAAAAGAAAAAGACAAGTGTTTGTAGGTCCTACACTACAATAAAAAAACTACAATTTCAGTGAGAGGCTGTGCCTGTTTATTATACAGTACAATTAGTTTTTTGATCGATATTTAAATTTCAACAGAAAGAAAATTAAATACGTAGTTTTTAAAATCACTGATATAGATTTTAATATTGGCGTGGGGGGTCGCCAAAATTTTTTAACTTGTAAAGGGGTCGCGTATTCAAAAAGGTTGAAAAACACTGCTTTATACATTGATACTGTTATTTTCTGCTGTGTAATAGGGACAAATGGTGCTTTTTATAGTGTGAAATAAATTTTGTGCCCTTTTTAAACATATAAATCTTCATTTTAAATTTTGAAAATAAAAGATATATTAAACTGCTTGCTGCGATTATGACTTAAACTAGTAACGAGAGTTGCGTAACTTTCCCGGCTATTATGAGTTTTTATTTTTAAAAACTCATAATAGCCGGGAACCGAATTGTACGTATTCCACAACAACCGAATTGTACGTATTCTAAAGCAGACGTATACCGAGGTATCGCCAGCACACCGTTTTTCAGTTATCCAAAGCATAAGCGAATTCTCAACATCATTTAATGTTTCGATCACTGTTTAGAAATTAATTCAATTCCTTTCGCAACGTTAGCAGATTTAATAATGTCTTTATTTTTCACGATCGTCGTTCTTGGAATATGGTATGCAACAGTTAAATCTCGAACACGCGTGCCACCTTCATCTTTCTCAACAATCTTTTTTTTCAATTCCATTGTGATTCTAGTCAATTTTTTAGTTTGCTGTCGCTTTTCATTTGCCTTTTTGCGATTCATGATTAATAAAAATATTAAAATTTTATTTACGAATTAAAATCAGAGGAAATTTAACAAAGTTATAAACCGTGGCACCGCGAACATCTAGTCTGGTCTAGTACAACGATAGTGCTACTCGTTCAAAGATGGCGCGTATAATTGAATTAAGTCGTATACCGAACAAAAGTCGTATACCGAGCAAAATTTGTTTCGTCCAAACAGGACGTTTTCCGAATTGTACGTATTCTAAAGCAGACGTATACCGAGGTACCACTGTATTATTTTAGATGCGGGTTTTTGCGTGTTTGATTGCGTTTTAATAGGGTACGTCAAGAGAATGTACACTAAAAAGAAATTTTTCGAAAAATTTCTCCCCCCCCACGGGGGGAAGTGTTATACGTNCTGTATAATAACTTGTAGTGATTCTTAAGATAATAATAATTAAATAAACTTCCCGGAAATCGAATTCGTAATACGCGAGAGCTTGTTATAACTGCTTTTATCGTTTTGGTTTATCGGACCATTTTCAAAGTTATTATTAGTATTAATTAAATCTACATTACGTGTAACAATTTCACGTATTTTATAAACCAGAAGGTGATTAAATTTAACTAATTATTGCTACGATAAAAACAATTATTTCGCTAAAAGTATGAGCAGAAACTTATTCTACTTTCTCGGCTGTTATATACAACAGAGGGAAAGTATGGCAATCGGTAAAAAAAATTCCCCCACTTCCGAAGATTTTTACATTTTTGCACTAGAAACGTCGGGAAATGCAAAAAATTTGAAGGTTTTTCTGTACGTACGGATATTATAGCGTGTTGTAACATAGCGTGTTGTGAAATTTGTTCACAACAAATATGTTTGATAAAATTTGTTCACCCACTTTGTTGTGAACAAACAACGCTATGTTAGTGTATGTGGGGACGCGATTGAAATCCAATTGAACATAAAAATTATTTATTTGTTCACCCACTTTGAAGCTTAACAATTCCTGTTCCTTTCTTCGAAAATTTCTGAAATTTTGCAGGGAGGTTCGTGTATTACGGAGTATTGATGCTATTAAATTTTGGTGATTAAAGGTCGAGGGGTGAGGAGATAGAGTGATCGTGTGTTGTATCTCAAGTAAGGTCGGACTTAATGAAGATTTTACTCGTTACAATTTTTATGCAACATCTCTACTCTAAAAATTAAGGTTATTTTTTTATTTAGAAAAACTTAAAAATTACATCACATAACAATTTTATTTGCAATACAAGCTTTATTTATTCATTAATACTCAATTAAATTATTTATTCAAACAATTTACTGATTATGGAAAGGATTGCGTTAGCATTAATTGGATCAGCGTATTGCTGCTAAACAATTGGTTTCTCCTGACACGTTCCTACTGAATAATTTACCATATCCTCGTCGAATCCTTCCGGAAGAGGGGGTCTTATGCACACGAGATTTCTTCCACATATACCAGCAATGTTATATAATCCTCCGCATTCCTGGCCGATTCCCTATAAAAATGTGTAGATATTTTTGTGTTACTTCCTTCATCCTCTAGTTAACAAATATTATTTCATCACAATATATTTCTTACCTGGGCACACACTTTACAACATTTGCAACCATATTTAGTAACTCCAACACCTGGGCAATCCTCTTCGGTTTTATCCACACAGATTACATCAGAGCAGGATCTGCACTTTAGCGACAGACTCACGCTGAAAATATAAATCTTTATGTATTTAAGACCATTCAAAAAGTTAAGAATTTATATAATACTAGAAAAATTTCTTACCTGAATAAACAAAACGTAATTATAAAGAAGGTAATCAATCTGGGGTTCATTTTTACAACTGATCTAAGGATCTGTGTGGAAACAAAGAAGACTTCTTGTAGACGTTTCCTGTCGTTGAGGATGTTTCGTCATTCACCGCTCGTAAATGTATCGAGGGCAATTATGAGTTAACACTATTTTATATTCAGAATGCCGGAAAGGTCATATTCCTATCAGTTTATTATATATAATTAATATTTCTAAACTTCCTCCCAGGAAATAAATTTAGTTTCCTTTCAAAATTTTCGGACATGTCGTTAGATTAATTTAATTTAATTATATTCTAACTAATTTCAATGCTTGCCACAGCACTTAAGAGGTTCGGAACTCGAAATAAATGGCTGAAATCAGCCTGGAAAATTTCGATAAAGACATTAGATTATTTTCGATTAGGTGACGAATTTTGTGTTAATCATATTTATAAATAAATTTCACAAAAGTAGGCGCACTATGATTTATTATGATGGAAGTCGTTTGGGTGACTCAGTTACCACATGTTAAAAAATGATGTAAAATGTAAGCTAAGTAAGCACAGTTTAAAAAAAATTGTGCTTACTTAGTAAATTCACACTTTAATACAGTGGAATCTCGCTTAACAAGCAAAATAAATTTTAAAAAATGACTCGGTTAATGAGCGACGTTTCGCATAACGAGTGAAGAGGAAAGATGAAGTCCCGGATTGTGTGCATGCTCCATCATAGTATTATCTGTAATGTTTTTTTTTCTGCAAATCGAAATCGCATTCGCATTTCAGGTTGGTTCATTCTGTGCTAAAAGAAAAGACGATGATGATTCACTCTCCTTAATAATGTACTGTCGAGTGCAAAATGGTTTTCCTCATCGTGACGTGACGTCACGTCACGTAAGTGACGTCATTTCACCTGTCAATCATTTCTACCTGTGCTCCCATTGGTTTAAAATGGACTGCGCCGTTTTATGATTTATTGGGGGGGTGATAGGAATGATTCAAGAGGGATTATGTTAAGCACTAAGCTTAAAAATCGTAATCGCAGCTTTTTTAATATAATCACGTTGTTTTAATAAAAATCTGGCATTACAGTCATCAGAAAATACGATTATATCGTTTATTTATGTAATTTTTCTCCTTTCTAACGTTTCTTATGTTTATATTATTGTAATTTGATCCAAAAATGCAAAAGAAAAACATATCTAGTTTCACTTCCGTTCAAAATCTCTCAGGTTNTTTCGCTGTGCTACAATAGTACAAAATCGATCGGTATATGAGTTGCGCTTAAAACTTTAGAGCCTTTTTTCTCGGAATCTTGTTGCTAGTGCACTTTACAATTCTTCTGGGTGGACACCCTTGAGGTATACTACTAACCTGCAAAGTCTCATCCCGAACTGAATTTCCGAGACCGTAAGGCCCCCTTGTTAGCTTATTTCTTATAATTCTAGTATTTAGCGAGTAATCATCATTAACAAATATGTTTTAACTTTTCACCTTATTAATATTTTTATATATTTTCAAAGTTAAACACTATAAATAACCAGTCTTTTTGAATTAGGTTTAAAATTTTCAATTCGATAAGTCTACTTGATATTCACATCCGTAAAAACTGAAAGTTATCACTTAATAATTTTCGTACCTTGCATAGACATTATCCATTTTTTCGTCATTCTCTAAACCCGAAATTACAAAGTTACTCTTCTTCTTTATCCTCCAGTTTCAAAAACTTTAGATGTAGGCTAAATTTTTACGTATTGCATTTATTTCTGCGTGTGATTTGTCATTTATAACGTTACCTGTTGCTTTATCAATTTCGTGGACAGGGAGTATAAATTCAAGATCTACCGTAGCAGTGTCTATATTTTCAATACAGGCAATACAATACAAAATATTTTCAATAATTTTGTTCTATCTGATCAATCTAAAAGTACCTGTAATTTACTATTTGAAAACGGTTGTAGTTTAAATAAAACTTTAATTCTTTCTTGATCGTTAATCCCATTATTGGCACATATCTAAGAAAAGATCACTACCTCTGTCGACTCACCTCTAACATTTTACTCGCTTTCAATTCTCTTTTTTACGTTTTATTTTGATCCATCATGAAATAGTTACAAAAAGTTTTCGTTCTTTCAGAAGTGTATTTAATTATTTTTCAGAAAAGTAACAGTAATGGGTTAAATCACAAGAGAGCAAAGTATTCACGCCAACAGCCATGATAATCGGACAGCGCCCTACTTCTTTAATATTTTGAGGTGTAAGTACTTAGTATTTAAAAAAAATAATTAATAAATTAGTAAATTATTATATATTATAAATTATATTATATTATATTATATTATCAAACGTGCAATTATTTATTGTGACATCATCAAATGACAGGCTACAATTTTTAATAAAATTTTTCATTTATTTCATTTAATATATATTTTTTTCATCTTAAATTACTCGTGTGCTGTCCTTGTTTATAATACTTTTCTATTTAGCAAGAGTCATGTAGTCTTTCATCTAACTCCTTACAGGTGAAAGCTTTCAGTTAAAACAATGTAACTTCGAATTTCAAAAGAAAGATTGCATAGTGTTAGTTTACTGGGAACCACATTCCCATAATGTGTCCACATTTGGTCTCTGTTATCTCTTCTCTAACGAACACTTTTAAGCTTAAGTAAAGGCAGACAGACAGCACTAAGAATTTATGAATCTACAATGTCTTCAAACTGCATCTTAATAAAGGATAAAATGTCCTTCTCAAACCACTTGAGTAATAAAACAAAAACAAAACTTTTAAATACTAGTAACAGAACGCCGAAAACGTTCGAATTTTTCGTTAAAGTTCTGTTACTATTTTAAAGTTTTGTTTATTTTTTTTAACTCTTTGTCATTACAGTGCCTAGTATTATTGAATGTACGCAGTCGATCGGATCATGATTATTGATGCGTCTTTAAGAAGAAAACGGTCATTTTTCAGCTGAATACTGATGTGAGAGCCGTGAATTACATGAAAGAAATTTATTTGAAAAGACCTTTAAATCAAAGAAAAAAAACCCACGAAAAATTATTTTACATATTACTAGGATGTGGAATATTCAGGTTAATAAGGCAACAGTTTTTTTACCTTAACTATTGTATAAAATGAGACAGAGAAACGAAACATTATAAAGGCTCAATACCTCAAGGAGATACTCAATTTAAAAAGTTACAGGTGTATCACGTTAAAAGTAATTAAATGCATTTTATTTTTTGTAAATGACACTTTCAAGGTTTCCTCAATCTTTGCGCAGACATTCCTCTACTCTTGGGTACATATCAACCATTAAACACTGAAACATTTCCAACAGTGTTCAGGTAATTTTTTCTCTAATTCTGACTTAGAGCTCAGAATTACTGTATGGGAAGTTAATCTATACTTTTTTTCAAATATCTTCACAAAAGAATCACATGGCAACAATCTTCTGAACAAAGAAATGTCACTATTACTAGAGATAACTTTACGGGCAACGACTTCTTACAGCAGTTATAGATATTTTGGTTTTATAAGCTGCATCTTGTTGGAACCATGTCTGATCATTAACAATAGGAAATATACTTAATTCTTGCATCAAAACCGTCAAACTACAAGTAGGAATGCTAAGTGCTGTGGACTAACTTCGATAGCAGTTCTCACATTCACGATATTCTCTAGGGCAGTATTTTTCAACCTGTGGGTCGCGACCCCCAGTGGGTCGCAAAGCCATACACGGGGGGTCGCGGGTAAAAGAAAAAGACAAGTGTTTGTAGGTCCTACACTACAATAAAAAAACTACAATTTCAGTGAGAGGCTGTGCCTGTTTATTATACAGTACAATTAGTTTTTTGATCGATATTTAAATTTCAACAGAAAGAAAATTAAATACGTAGTTTTTAAAATCACTGATATAGATTTTAATATTGGCGTGGGGGGTCGCCAAAATTTTTTAACTTGTAAAGGGGTCGCGTATTCAAAAAGGTTGAAAAACACTGCTTTATACATTGATACTGTTATTTTCTGCTGTGTAATAGGGACAAATGGTGCTTTTTATAGTGTGAAATAAATTTTGTGCTCTTTTTAAACATATAAATCTTCATTTTAAATTTTGAAAATAAAAGATATATTAAACTGCTTGCTGCGATTATGACTTAAACTAGTAACGAGAGTTGCGTAACTTTCCCGGCTATTATGAGTTTTTATTTTTAAAAACTCATAATAGCCGGGAACCGAATTGTACGTATTCCACAACAACCGAATTGTACGTATTCTAAAGCAGACGTATACCGAGGTATCGCCAGCACACCGTTTTTCAGTTATCCAAAGCATAAGCGAATTCTCAACATCATTTAATGTTTCGATCACTGTTTAGAAATTAATTCAATTCCTTTCGCAACGTTAGCAGATTTAATAATGTCTTTATTTTTCACGATCGTCGTTCTTGGAATATGGTATGCAACAGTTAAATCTCGAACACGCGTGCCACCTTCATCTTTCTCAACAATCTTTTTTTTCAATTCCATTGTGATTCTAGTCAATTTTTTAGTTTGCTGTCGCTTTTCATTTGCCTTTTTGCGATTCATGATTAATAAAAATATTAAAATTTTATTTACGAATTAAAATCAGAGGAAATTTAACAAAGTTATAAACCGTGGCACCGCGAACATCTAGTCTGGTCTAGTACAACGATAGTGCTACTCGTTCAAAGATGGCGCGTATAATTGAATTAAGTCGTATACCGAACAAAAGTCGTATACCGAGCAAAATTTGTTTCGTCCAAACAGGACGTTTTCCGAATTGTACGTATTCTAAAGCAGACGTATACCGAGGTACCACTGTATTATTTTAGATGCGGGTTTTTGCGTGTTTGATTGCGTTTTAATAGGGTACGTCAAGAGAATGTACACTAAAAAGAAATTTTTCGAAAAATTTCTCCCCCCCCACGGGGGGAAGTGTTATACGTTTATAATAGATACATTTTGAGCCACAACAACGCGTGGCGGGGTCTGCTAGTAGGATATAAATTATGAATCTTTTGTTTTTAATTATCTGAAATGAAATATGCAATTTTTGCTTTCCTGGCTGTTACGTGTACATAACAAGGGAAAGTATTGTAAAGAAATTAATAGACGTAAATTTGTAGTGTTTAATTAAAATTTCGGTTAAGTTTTTTATCATATTTTATTTAATTTTATCAAAATCGAAATAAATTACAGTCAAACCAGTCAATGCGAATAACATATTAAACAACTTTCAAGTAAAATATCATTTGAAATTTTATTCTCAAATATTCCGTTTTTGAAAAAAGTAATAAATTTATTTTAAGAAATTTTTTTGTATTTTGAATTACAGACGGCGCCACTTAATTACTTTTTGAATTACAGATTCCGTTGCGAGAGTCGGCTTGACAAACGTTTAAAGTAACGATATACATTAATTTTAAATAAAGCATTAACTAGAAAAGAAAAGCGGCCGATAACATATGGAAGAGGAAAAGGGTTGATGGAGAAAGATATAAAGAGATTTTTTGGTGTCTTACAATTTAGAATGAAATTTAAATTTATGCAATAACCGTAAGGAATATTAAAAGTTTCTGATGTTTCTTCGTTAATTTGTTGATTGGTGTAAAGAAAACGTAAGTACATTTCTATATGTTTTGAAAGATTCGAATACAGATTTTTAGGACAAGATTAAAAATCCTGCAACGAGTTGCTTAACTTTCTCGGCAACATATGGTGGAGCCATCTGTTACGATATTTTATTTTAAATATTTTTAATTATTATAAAATGGCAAAAATCTTAATTTTGTGGATAGGGATGAGTTTTATAAAATCTTGTAAATGCTAATAACGAGGAAAATCGACATTATGCCCGACCCTACCGGAGATACACACGACCGCCTTTATTTTTCTACCCCTCGACCTTCAGTCATCAAAATTTAATAGCATTAATCTCCCTAATAAACAGATCTCTCTGCAAAATTTCAGAAATTTTTGACAAAATGTACAGGAGTTATTGAGCTTGAAATACAGCGAACAAAATCGTGTCCTCCTCACACATCCATTCATACATAGAGAAAAAAAATCCCGATTTTTTTTGCATTTCTCAACATTTCAATGTCTCCTGAGTCCAAAAATGTAAAAATCCGGGGGGTCATTTTTTTGACCGATCGCCATACTTTTCTTCTGTTATATATAATAGCCGGTAAAGTAAAAATGCTCGATTTATATAACTGTAATTGTTTGTGAAACTTGTAAAACACGAGGTAGAAACACTTCGATAGAAAGTCAAATATATTTTTGGCATTTCAAATACGAAAATTAGTTATAAAGTTATCCGTGATATTACTTTATCGTCTTCATTTCGGTTTGTATTGTGCAAAAAAACAAATAACTTCAAATTACTTTCCGTTTTCTAAGTTATACAGTAGTTTAAAGCGGTACAAAATTTTCTACATTTATTCACTTAACTTGTAATTGTGAAATTTTTAAAATGTCATATTTTCTTATTGTAGTTAATATACATTACCCTTTTTAAGTTAAGCGACTCGACAATCTGAATAAGCAGTCACTTCTTAACATTATTCTGACTTCCTTAAATTTCAGAATAAATGGTATAATACGTTCCTACCAAAATACATTGCAAGATATTTTATGCAAGGTATAATAACTTACATCAACGTATATCAATAGGTTAAGGTGAGTACGGTCAAGTTTTCCAGAAAAATGGGAAAAGAAGATGGATACAGTATTAGAAATAATCTGGCACGTTTGCTTACGTTTTTACAATGCAAAATATTTCCCTGCTTTAAGCTTTTTGTCTTTACATAACTATTCTTTTTCCAGTCCGCCTCCTTGCTTAAATATCTAGGATTCATCGTACATTATTGATAAGGCGTTTAAATTGCAGTGTTGTTAATTATTTCATGAAAAACTAGCTGTTACCCGCGACTTTGCCCGCGCGGATTTTGCAAGCAAACCCCATTTATATTCAGTATTTCAACAACCATAGTAATTGTTATATAACACCTACCGCCGAGAATGATGAGAATTGCTGAGAATCAAACAAACTGTTTTTAATTTGATCAATTTTCTGGAACGTTTACAATCATTCTATAATCGAATCAATATGTAATAACAAATTCGAATTTAAAATGGGTCGAACATTTGGTTAAAATATCGAAATATATAAAAATATTTATAACAATGTCTGAAATGTTATCAATTTAATACAGCTAAGTACTCAATGAAGATTAAACGTAGTTGAAAACAAAAAAGTGCATCTAAAATAGTAGAGTAGAAGCCGTTTTTCTGGTTAAGCCTTAATCCTCTCCCTCTCCCCCCGCGGGGAGAATTTCGAAAAATCCCTTATTGAGCGTTTTCATGACGTACCCTAACTGTACAAAATCTCACCTCTAGGTTCAGCGGTTTGCTCTGGTCGATGAATCAATCAATCAGGACAAGTAATTTAATATATTTAGATAATTCCTACAATCTGTGCAATTAAATTCCCGACATTACCTTTCGTGTTTTTTTTTTTTGTTTTTCCGCCCTGTGGGCACTAAAAAGACCTCTTTTAGCAAGCCCATTATAGGTTTGGCCAGGTCCTCAATGGGCGGCCGGGTGGTGAGAGACGGGGGCCGACATATCCGGTCCGATCACCCCCCTGAAAAATTCACAGGGATTTTTTCGATCCCGGGATCCCCAAACAGGTAGACTGCCACCTTGACCGCATGAGTTCCCGACCTAATATGATAGACTATTGATATATTCAAATATAAATTATCCTCAGTGAATTCGTTTCTCTTCTCAGTCACTAAGCCAATGACGATGAATTGAGACGGTTGGGACCTTATCAAAACTGTAAAACATACCAATAGGAGGAAAAAAGTCAAAGGAACCTCTACAAGCGACCTTCGCGAGATACAGCCTCCAAAAATCAGGTCGTTTCGCTCTGCTAAGACTATTTAGCCCAGGTGAATATGCCGGCTTTGAGTATCCCACTTGATTACCTGATGTTGTCTAGTTTTAGGAGGTGTGGAAGCTAGCTCGAAGCGCACGACTACATGCGGAGCATGGAGAATAGACAGTACATTGATACGTTAAAAATTGACCTTTGGAGGCGAATATCTCGCGAAAGGTGTCATGGTTCCTTTGGCTTCTTAGCTCGTATAGGCAGGGTTCGTACAGATCTGGAAAGTCAGGGAATAAGATTTTTAGCAGAAAAGTCAGGGAATCCGCAAATACTGCGGAATTCACTCTCTCCCCCTTTTGATCCGAACACGTCTTTAAATTCGGTTTGGTAAAGGGAGGTGTACGAAAACCAGAGCGATCAAACAAATGGCAAGATTTTCGCAGCTTATATCTCGTAAACTATAAATGATAATCTAACGATTTAAATTTTATTGAATGGGAGGTTTATGTCTGTATTTTAAATGGTAGCTATTGGGGGTGTGCAGCCGTATGAGAGTGGGGTAGCAGTCGCGCGTGAACACCGAAAATGGCGACGCGGTGCGGCGTTTGGGCAACGAAACTTTGGATAGCAAAGAAACAGGACGTCGAAATTGGTGTCGATTTGTATAGAACGACAGAATCTACAATATTATTTAGCAATAATAATCGATAAAATAAAATTTGTAAAGATATAAGCCGATAAGTGTGCGGGTCGGAGAAAATTTTCATAATGTTGATGAAATTGCAAAGGAATTACGAACAGAAATGTAAGAGACGTATATCGTTGGTAAGAAAAATTGAAAAGGAATCAGAAAAGCCCAAAATGACTAATCCCAATCTGCATCGATTGACATTAGTCATTTTGGGCTTTTTCCAGCGCATCAACTTCAACGTGAATATTTCGACTGCGCCCGCCGTCCGAACAGATACATATTGACTTGGAACGTGATAACCACCAAGACTATACGCGTACACATTATACCCCCCCTAAAAAAACAAAAAACAAATCAACCCCTAAAACAATGCCAATGGGGCCCCAAAAAAAACCTCCCAAATTTTTTTTTACCTATGTGACGTTTGGTTAACTCATTGCAGTCAGTCGATGCCATTGGGGAGACAAAATCTCCCGTATACAACGATACGAGACATTTTGGATTGCGTGGCGTACTTCATGCAATTTATGTATTTTTATTCGTTGTATTCTTCGCTGCAGGCCACATACAGTATGTGGAGATGATCAATCCGTCAAAATTAGTAGGACTATTATTTGTGATGTCTTCTCTCTCGCTGCAAATTTCCATCTTTGGATGGTCCGCTGAATTTCGGAAGTGTACCAAAACATTGCCGTAGAATTAAAATCGGGTTTTAAAAAACACCATCGACAACGACCTTTCTCCCTCTTGTGGAGTGGGCGATTGCTTCTGTTTAAATTAATTTGAATTTCCCGCCTCCTCGCGTTAAGAAAATTAGATTGTTCGACGCGACGTGAGTCTTTTTTCTTATTTAAATAAAAATTACGAATTAATTTAAATTAAATCGTGAATTTATGACATAGAAATGATGTAGTTAATTACGTAATCGATTTTACGTAAAGTATCGTTTTTTGTAAGTGAATAAAGTGTGTTTTAATAGAAAGTTATATAGTTGTGTACAAAATGGGCTTAAATAGACTTGGTCGAATATTGATTATTGGAAAGGGAAAATGTAGAGACGTGAATTAATAAGTCAGGGAATAATGTCGTAATTGGTCAGGAAATGTCAGGGAATCACGAATGGAATTGTCTTTACTGACCCTGTATAGGGGGATCTTCAATTCCGGTGGTCGAAACCCTTCATTCAGAGCTTGAATCTTAGCCTCGGTGAATTTCTTCTCTGTAAATCTCGTTTCTGTTTTTGTTGCACTTTCATGAGTAAGACAAAATGAATGGTAGCTGTTGTAGATCTCATAAACCAGTGTTTCTCAACGGGGGCGATATCGCCCCCATGTGGGCGTTTTTCCATGATGAGGAACTAATTAGTAACAATTTATATTTTGGGGGCTAAAAACAATTTTCTGGGCGATATAGTAAAAGATTATATTAAGAATAATTAGATATTTTATTCGTTATATCGTGCAATAATTAAACAAAAAACATTATACTAGTCAATAGTCTATTCGATGCAGTACGAATTTGGCGTTAGCCTCGGCATCGGAATTTTGAAGTGAAGGGGACGATACTACGTAACTGTTTTATTGAAGGGGCGACGATTCGTTAGAGGTTGAGAAACACTGTCATAAACAAAGAAGATTGCCTTTTCATCATCTCTTCGACTTTGTCTTTTTGATTTCGAATCAATAATGTTGATTAAAGAAAATCTCGATAATTATTACATTGGAATAAAAAAACAAAAATCAGTTAACTTCTTACGAAACAGAACAGGAAATTTTCTGAAAACATTTCTTATTATATGAAATGAAGCTTATGAACTTGACATGAGCAGTATTGTAAGTCCTTTGTGTTCTCTCGTTGAGTCAAGTCCCTTCATAACTGTAGACAAAATGTACAGTAAGTAGCTTTCTACTTCTTTACTGAAGATATTTTAAAGACATTTTTCATGAAGAAGTTAGAAACGTTTCGGTGTTTATAAGTTTTAATTCTGCAAGGAAAGATGTAAAACATGATATATAGAAAGGTGTATTCTTCATAAACTACAGTATTACTTGGTCTACTTTTATTCTAAACATCGCTTCTAAAATACTTCGGACGCTGTAATGAATGACACTTACGTATTCGGTTAATACGTATAAATACATATCCTTTAATAAAAGTTAATTTGGATTCGTTTCTTTTTCAGATTTCAAGTGAAGATGTAATTTTCTGGTGTAAAACGTCGAAGAAAGAATCTGTAGAATTATTTGTTTTAAATTTGAATTATTTAACTAGAGTTAGAAAATAATGTGTGCCGTTATTCCCGTATCTTATTTAACAGAGAACTTTTTATTATTTTCAGATCCATTCTCGGCCAATAGAGGACATTTCTGTGTAATGACTGGAGAATTGTTTCCAAGAAAACAGAAAAGTTGAAGGATGTATTTATCTTCTTTACGAAATACTGAAATTGAAGTCACTCATAGAAAGATACATGAATACATCAATAAGAAGAATTTTATGTAAATGAAGGAAAACAGAAGTTTAAATGAAGATGTTTTAATTAATTAAAATTATATTTTATTTTGTAAAATACACTTTATATAAATTGTTTTGAGAAAATATATGTATAAATAACATTAATTTTGATTGTAATTATGCATGTTAATATTTTGTGAACACTGGTGTAAGCAGTTATTGTATATGCTGTAAAGATATCATTCAGGTAGTTTTAAGCTTTAAATTTTAGTTTAAGAAAACTTATGAGGAAGATACAAATTACTTTTCTATCTGCGCACAAAATTTTAAAAATACTGCGCTTAAATCTACATTTTAATATATTTGATTGACAATAAGTTTAACAGTTGCTTTCAGGCGTTTTTTTATGTTTTCATTTATCGTATTTTTCATGTTTTACAGATTTATCTCATCGTAAAACAAAGAATGAGAAGTATCGATGTGAAAGTTGCAAGAAAGAATTCATTTCGAAGATTGGATTTAAATGCCATCAGAAGATTCACACTGGAGAAGGACTCTTGTCTTGCAAATACTGTAATCGTCAGTTCAACCATTCCACCAATTTATTTAATCACGTCAAGATTCATACCGGAGAGAAACCATTTACCTGTGATCATTGCAAACAACGTTTTGCACTAAAACAACATCTGATACGACATCTGCGAACTCATAC